TAAGCAGAGTCATATTCAAATTTAGGTATTTTAAAGGACCGTTTTGCCCGAAAACTGCCCAATCTGTTACAGATCACGCCGTAAAAATAAATACAGTTCGACCGAATTCTTAAATACAGTCCGACCGTATTCTTCAATACAGTCTAGAACTGTAAGGGATCGGACCGTAGAATAAAGTACGGTTAAGATCGTAAAAACAAATACAGTCCAACCGTAAAAACAAGTACTGCCCTGCCTGTGAAATAATGTATCATTCGGCCTTAAAATTAAATACAGTACGGACCGTATGTCTACCACCGTACTTGACTAGACTCTATAGTTTTTTCAAACAGTGATGTGGACGCCTCCCTAATTGGCTGACCACGGTTCTGTTGTTACTTCCTAATCGCTGGAATAAGCGTTGGGACACTTTTGGTGAACCGCCCAACTGTCATTTTCAGTGCGCAGATATTGGCCAAGAACATTCTAGCTGCTGGCGCTTCGGGTTTCGAAGTAACACATATCAGCCTTCGCGATGACGGCAAGCTGGCCGTTGCTCTTAACATACCCGACATTGAGGTGACAGGAGCGTACGACATCGACGGAAAGGTTAAGGTTGGATTCATATCAGTCAAGCTCTCTGGTAATGGACCGCTAGCGTAAGTACTACATTCGCAAATACCCTAATTCTAGCCATATACTTATCATTGATCTATGTGCGCGTTTCATAAGGCCTCTTTAATTGTGAGATGTTAATAGTTAGGGAGAGTGTGAGAGAGATCAGCATAAACCGTCTTCAACATGTCGCATCCATGTACTTGTGAATATAAATTGGTAATATTGGTGTGCATATAGGATTCTAAAATCATTATGAGTTGTATTAAAGTTTGTTCAACCTAAAACAAACTAAAAATAATATCCTAAAATGGTAGCACATGCAACATTTATACATTTTTTACCAAGTTCTCTCATTGGTTCGTTAAGAAAGGCTACACTTTTTCTCTCAAAAATTCGTATGGTACAGATACTCAAGTTGTTGCATAAGGATTCTAATTTTCTAGGCACAATTGAGAGCAACAAACCGTAATATACTGGCGCAATCGCCGCCAACTCGACAGGCAATCTTATCAGGTGGCACGAACGTTGCACTCAAGTGACTTTGCACAGCTGCCACAGTTGGCGTTTAGCAACGCATGAAACGGTTATTCTATTAGGGTGTGTTTTATAGTTTTTAGTAATGGAACCAAATGTGAATGTTCATATGATGTGTTCTAAATGACCAAGGTCGTTTGCAATCGAGAACGCCTTGGTTGGGAAGTTGTAACGGTGGCGAAAGGACGGCCAAGTTGGGCTCACCCAATTTTTAGTTACAAACAACCCCCTAACTAGTGATTTCCTTTCGAATCAGAGACCTTAGAACTTGTACAATGGTCGTTGTCACAAACACAACCTCAAGGGTTCTCGGTCTTCGAGTCCACACAACACGCTTGTGTAACATGAACGTCTGGAGTAGTCTGGTATTTAATGAGATAAATCGTCCTATTTGCTTATCAATGATGTGTCTGTGCCCTATCAGCCTCACTGAGGCACAACTTTTTGTTTATAGTTCAAGTTCACAAAATATATCTAAAACAGGCTAGGCCCGCTCTTCCGCCAAACCAAGTTGCCAGCTCCGCTCCACCGGCAACTCGGTTCGGCAGGGAGCGGGCTTTGCTTGGCCTGCCGACACCGTTTGGGACAGGCCTTCGGCCTTCCCTTCTGCCCGCCCTTCTGCTTTGAAAAAGCTATCCAGCAGGCTTATGAAAACGACCTCGTGTCTGTGTATCGGTTTGTTCCACTAGAAGGAGATGAGCTAGAGACTTAAGTTTTCAGGGTATCTTAAGGTCCACTCCTAGAGAACGGCGAATCCTGGCAACCACCCCTAAGGG